CAGTGAGAGAGAATCCTATTAGCAAAAATGTTTGTTAGCAAACTCAAACTACGCTACATTATCAAAAGTTAAATCGGTTGATTCAACTTCATGGTATGTTTTCAGACTTTAAGGATCATGTGACACTGAAGACTGTAGTAATGATGCTAAAAATCAGCTCTGCCATCACAGGAATCAAATTTTTTTTTTTACTTGAAGTATAATTTTGACCGTATTACTGTTTTACTTTTATCAAATAACTGAAGCTAAGGGTGAGATTTTACACACACAAAAAACCATGAAAACTTACCCAACCTCAAACTTTAGGTAGTAAAGAACAGGAGCTTCCCCTTGTCTTGTCTTTTCAGTTGATTTAACTTCAATGTATGTTTTATCATTTACTTACTTATCAGAAGGGTTTCTTTTTAAAGAAGTAAAATATATGTCCGTTCTTTGAATTTCAGACAGAAAAGCACAGAACAGCAAGAGCTGGAGCGCATCGAGGCTCTACAAAAAGAGGTGGCGGAACAGCGGCGTAAGAATGAGGCGAGCTACAGGGCTGCTCTGGCAGGCAGTGAGTCACTAGCAAATTCTGTTCTTAATTATAAGAGCAATGCTGCATTTATTGTATTTTTTTTTATATAAATTTTACAATGTGACTTTAATTGGCTGTTCTGGTTGTTTTAAAGGTCAGCTTCCTAAGAGGCATGTGCTGTCCACCACCATTCCCAAAGAATTCAACTTCCGCTCAGATAGCAGGCTAAAGAACCACACGGATGGAGGCTCTACAGTCGACAACTCGTACAGGGAGGTGGATTTCACCTCTCAGCTCCGCAAGCACCCATCTTCCCCTGTGAGTACAGTCACTAGGATGAGTAGTTGGATTCTTTTTGAAGCTGCTTGATGACTAAAAGTGATTTAAATGTTTTTGTCATTCTGTAGTTGAAGGCTCCAAAGGGAACAACCATTCCTAAACCCTTCAACCTCTCCAGAGGAAAGAGGAAGCTTGATGAGGCAGGGGCCTACATGCCAATGGCCCAGCAGATTGAACAGTTTCAGAAACGCACTCCCATCCGCTATCACCTGCGTAGTCGGCAGAGCCAGGAAAGAGGTGTGTCTCCTGTCAGACCCTATTTCTGGTAGCTTTGAATATTATTATCATTGCATTTTTGTGATGCTGGTAAAGCATCATTTATTCACCCTCATGTAGTTCCAGAACTATATGACTTTCTTCAGTGGGATAAATACATAATTATTTCCTCTGATGATCTGTAATCTACACTTCAGATGACTTTGACTAATTTTGCCTGTATTTTATTTGCAGGACCTTCACCAGTGAAAGCTGAGAAGCCAAAAATCACACATCCCAAAACGCCACAGCTACTGACTCGCCAGAGACATCGTCCCACAATGGTCAAAAGCACTGCGGAAATTGAGGCAGAAGAAACAGAAAAAATTCAGCAGTAAGTTTTGAAGAGACTTTTGTGTTTTGTCAATGCTTAATTTTAATTTAGCACAAGAACATCTCTTCAAACTTTCCTTCGGTCATCTCAGGTTTAAGTTCAAAGCTCTAGAACTCAACAGAAAGATTCTAGAAGGAGCTTTGGTTCTTAAAAAGCCGGCTAGTAAAGAAGTTACCAAGCCTGAGGGCTTCCAGCTGGAGATTGAGAAGCGACTTCAGGAGAGGCAGGCCAGTAAGAAGCCTGAGGAAGAAGAGGACCACACGTTCCATCCCAGACCTCTACCAACTCGAATTCTGGAGGAAGTTGTGGTTAGTAATGGCTCTCTCAACCCCTTTTTTTAGGTTTGTTTTATTGAGGTTGAGACGTCCTTTTTAATAATTCCATTGTTACTGTCAAACCCCACCCCCCAAATAAAGGGTGTCCCAGAGAAGAAAGTTCTAAATCCAACTGTTCCAGAATCACCTGCATTTGCTCTTAAAAACCGTGTGCGAATGGAAAAGAAAAAAGAGGTACATTTCAGTCTTATGCTTTATTTAAATTCATGAAACTGATTTGTTGACTCTTCACATAATTCCTTTGCCCGTTCAGGAGAAGCCTCCTGCTCCAATTAAGGCACATGCTGTGCCCCACTTCCTGCCCTTTCAGCCCAAACTACCGGTCAAAAGCCAGGTAGAAATGTGCCCTTTCTCATTCGAGGAACGTGAACGTGAACGAAGGGTAATGAAGGAGAAGAAACTGGAGGAAATGAGAAATGAAGAGGTATTTCCTTTATGGAGCAGCTAAAAGTCTTATTGTTCTTCATTTCATAACTGTGCCTAAATTGGACTGCCTCACCCAAATCTCACAGGTACCCAAGTTTAAGGCCCAACCCCTTCCTGACTTCCATGAAGTGCACCTCCCTGAGAAAAAGGTAGTAGAGCCCACCAAACCTACTCCTTTCAAGCTGATGGTTGATGAACGAGGAGCTGCAAAGGGTGAACGCTGGGAGCAGATGGTAAGATCTTCTAAATCTTTCCTCTTCATCTTCCATATATTTTGATATTCTAGACCAAGGGTCTGAAACCTTCAACATCAGAAGAGCCATATTGGGCCCTTTCCCCCTGAATAAAATTCAAAACCTATTTGATCTCTAAAATGAAGATAAAATGCCATACAGCTAACGGTTTTATATTCAGCTACGTTACAGGGCAGGGGCGTGGCAATCATTTCAAAAGTATGAGGGGCAGAAATATCAAATGTATTGGTAATAATAATTTTTATGTATGTGTAATTGACGACAATTGAAATTGTATTTTATTGCTTCTGTACTGTAATAAATGCTGTCAATTAGCACTGTATCATTCATATACTTTAGCTGCCTGGAGAAGACTTGGAAAAACACGGAAACATATATTGTCAATTATTGTCTTGGTTTCATCAGTTAAGGTTTATTCTTGTTACTTCAGCCTAGCAAGATGCTTTTGTCCATGCTTCAAATTTCCTGCACATCAAAAGTTATTACTTCTATGAGTCTTAGTTTCAAACTTAATGTGCGAGAGCGCCCTCCGGCTTCAAGAATGAATGAGACCTTGCATGAGAGTGTCTGGCACTCCGTAATGCTCGCATCATTTTAGATACGAGTAAAATGCATCCAAAACGATGTGACTATCTTGTCTCTTAATTTAAATCTAGATTTATTCACACTGGTCCTTAACCTCTACGTGAACACACTTGCCCGAAAAAAGTGCAGGGGAAGAGTTTAGGTTTTATTAAAAGTTGGGGGAACACGTCCCCTGTGTGTTTTACGCCCGTGCTACAGGGAGCCACCGCAGAGGGATGAAAGAGCAACAGGTTGCCGACCCCTGTTCTAGACCACACATGACCAATGTTTTGCTTAGCAATTGTGTTTGCATGCTTGCAAGTAGTTAGCCAGAGGAAAATCACTTGTGTCTCTGAATTCGTGACATTGTATACAATCTGTGTCTTAACTGGTTCCTTCCATTTTAAAATGTTTCTCCAGATGAAAGAGGAGTTGAAACGACAGGCTGAAGCCGCATGTTTTAAGGCACAACCAAACAATGTATCTCACAAAGAACCATTTGTACCGACAAAGGAGAATCGCTCCATCTTGGGTATGTTTTTGTATGTGGCAGGTGGTTTTTGTGATCTTTCCACGTAGTGTTGCACACCCCATGTTGTGCTGTCTCTAGTCTGACCTTTTTTTTGGGCTTGCTGGCTTTGTGTAAATTGTTGGAGTGCACAGTTAATTCCAAAACCAACTCTCGCTTCCTTCCAACTTTCACCACTGCTCTCACCTCTACCTGACCACTTCATCTGGTCCTCTTCGTTTACCTTTGGCACTTTCTAAAGCCAATACTACTAATTCTGCAGTTCCAGAGGCATTCCAGTTGGCCACAGAACGGAGAGCCAAGGAACGAATTGAGTTCGAAAAGGAGTTGAGCGAGAAGGAGGAGCTGAAGGCTCACATGGAAGAGGAGTGGGAAAGAGAACGAGAGGAGCAGGAAAAGGAGGGGATTGCAAGGCTGCGACAGGAACAGGTGAGCGATTTCAGAATGAATGTTGCTTATCCTCCCAGGCCTGTAAAGTTGTGAATTGGGATCAAGTAATCGAAAAAATTAATCTGCACTTAAAAAGAACAATATTTTATTTCTTCTTCACTTCAATGTAAAATTATTTGGCCCATTTATATTGTAAATTTTATTTATTTATTTATTTATTTATTTATTTTTTTTGAAAGGTGCGCAAGGCCCAGCCAATCAGACGCTACAAGCCAGTGGAGTTGAAAAAGAGTGAAGTGTCTCTCACAGTGCCCCAATCTCCAAACTTTTCAGATCGTTTCCGCTTGTAAATGTGTAATGCACCGTTACATTGACTTAATTGTACAAAGTTCTCAATGTGTTTTGCTGTTGTCTTTTATATATCTCTCTATCTGTCTGTGGCTGATGCATTAAGCCTTTGTGGTTGAGTAAAACAATTTTACAGTTGGGTGTGGTGACTGCCCCAGCTAAATTTATCTTTTTAAACTCTTGTATATGAAGACTCATTTTTTTTTTTCTGTTCTCCTTTTTTGACTGTTTTCTTTCATTTCTTACAATAAAGAAACTTAGTATAAATTATTTGTTTACTGTCTGTAGTGGCTGAACTGAAATTGGACCATTCAACCTCTTCATAAAACTATTTCTTGGTTAATTTGGTTGAATGTCATCTATAAGGACTCAACAGTCTTGATCTTGCACTTTCTAATTATTAGTCACTTTTCACTAAATACTTTTCATGCACAGTTTTATTCTTGTTTTGATATGTAATTTATATGTAGGTTAAGTAAAGGGCAGAGATTTTATTCCATTAAAGCTGCATGACTCAGCAGTGCATGGTTGAACGCTAAAGGTACATGTCTCACATTCGTTCAGCTCATGCTTTGTTGTCTCTACTCTTTTTGTCTTGGAAAGACTTTGTGCCCCCTCCCCAGGGCCAGCTCTGCGTGCCTCTATTATCAGTTTACGGTTTGTGAGCCCCCTTCTCTGGTCTGCCTATTTCTGGTGAGGTGGCTACCGAGTGATAAAAGGATTTTGACAGGCTGGTACTTTGTGAGCTTCCAGAGAACAGTCTGTTCAAACCCTTGGCCGGAAAACGCATGTACTTTTCAGTGGACAAACATCTTTACAGGTGGGTGTGAAATGGTTGAGAATTTATTGAAAAATATCTTATTTGGAGTAGAGTCTGAAAACGTTAAGCTGTTACTTTTATTTTTTGTAACTACATCTGTCTCATTACAGAACAGTTACACATGGAATATTTCTACTTTTAAAAATGTAATGTCATACTGCAGGAAGTTTTCAATGAACTACAAAAAAGCTATTCATTTCAAATGTTACAGCTGAAATGCATTTACTAGACTCAAATACTTGTTTAAAGTAATTTAATTGTAATTCATTGCATTTAGTTAATTGTATCAATTTAACGTTAAATAAAAAGTCAGTGTTACTTGTCAGTTGTGCATGCAGAACTTTGCCTACCTGAGTTTTATTTTATTTCCCTACTGGGAAACTGTTTAACCAGTCTAAGTTTGTTTGCGTCTTAGTTGGATCTGTTGATTTATCTTTTTTTTTTTGTGTGTGTGTGTGTTCTTTTCAGCTGGTCATGCTAGGAGACAAGCTAAAGCCAGCTAAGACCAGCAAACCAACCTAGACTATTTATTTCAGCAGGGTTTCTCTTAAAAACTTGAAAGTAGCAACAATGACATTCACTGTGTGTGTAAATCCACAGGCCTACTTGTAATTTTGACTTTAAGAATACCTTGTCTTCAGTACCTCTATTTTTCATCTCTCTCTAGCACAACCTTCATTCCATGTCTGTCAAGGGCTCTATGAAATGCCCCTTGCCTCCATCCAGCCCCACAACCCTGGAGGCCAAGGTTGATGACCTACGATTTAAAGTGGAGCAGCTCCTCTTGAGCCCAGGGAGAAGTTGCCCCATGTGTGGGACCTGCGTTCAGCACAGCACACTGCAGGAGACTGTGACCAGCCAGCTGTCAGCTCAGACCAGACATCTGGATTCTCTTGAAAAGAAAGTCATAGAGATGAGAACAGCTCTGGAGGAACTTGCAAGTGGTATGGAGTCGGAATGTGTCTTCAAGGGGATAGTTCAACCAAACTCTTGTCATCATTTACTCGTGTCATTACAAACCTTATTTTCTTCTGCTGAACACAAATATTTTGAAGAATGTTAATAGCAAAACACTATTGGTTCCCGCTGACTTCCATTGTAATTTTTGTCCATTCAATGAGAACCAAAAGTGTTTTGTTACCAGTATTCTTAAAAAAACAAAAAACAAGTTTAGGTTTGGAACTAGGTTGGTGTCTAAATAATTTTCAGTTTTGTCTCTTAAATATGTAAGGTCTGGAGGACAGACTGTGTGAGAGAGTGTCTGTGCCTTTAGTGGCTCTACAGAGACGGAAATCACTGCCTGTTCGAACCTCTGCAGTCAGTGGAAAGAAGGACAACTGCCAGAATTGCTTATAAATGGTTCCACTAACTCTTAAGACTATGGCAAACAGTGATTGCATTAATCAAAATGGCATAAATTACATCTAAGGCCCATTAACACCAAGAACAATAACTGTAGTTTAAAAAATTTATGAGAATAGGAAAGTTCACACCATAAACATGATGATAATGACAGAAGCACAATATCATTGGAATTACTTTCAGAATTGAGCTGATGAATGAAAAAACATTGACAGACAATCAGAATCCATTCAATTTGAAAGAACTTGAGCATTTAAAGCAGCAAACAGCAAAACTGCAGTATGCTCATATAAGAAGAATGTTATCAACCATTGTCCGTTGACACGTTAACATAGTTGTTGCTGCTACAGTTATAGTTTTTGGTCTGATCAGGCCTTGACCATGTATTTAATTCCGGTTTGTAAACCGTTTTTTCTTCTATCACTCTCTGTTGACAGGAGGAAGTCTATGTTTGCTTGGGCGGAGACCGTAAAATGGTGCCACATGCTTTTAATATGCCTTCGGAGAAAGGTAACTACAATAAACTATGTTATTACACCATATGTGTCATTTGGAAAGGTGAAGTGGGGCAGCAGGATTGTCATGGTCATTTTTGATGGACATAAATCTGAATGACGGGCCTGTTAGCGTGTTAACTATTTATGGACTGCAGAGTGACAGGTAGACCCACAAATCACTTAACTAAAGAACAAACCATAAATAAAAGGTTATACAAATAAAAGAGAATGACTTTAATATATATATATACTATGCATTTATACTATAACTTGCATACTAGTATAATAAAGCCTTATATTGTATATTCTTTGTGCAGGTATTTTGCTAGAAATCAATGAAAACAATTGTACGATAAGAGAGGACCATCAATCTAAAAAAGATTCAACAAATGTCAAAGTTCAACAGGAGCCTAAATTGCAAATCAAGGGAGAAAAGGAAACATCCACTGTAATCCCAAGATCGAATCTATCTCATCATCAAACACAGAAAATGAATACGGTTGAAAAAAAGAACATGCCAACAAACCAGAATGATGTCTCGAAACTCATCATTGCTGCGTCAGTGGTGACCCAGAGGACTCCAGGTATTGCTCCACTAAAGACAGAAGCCCAAGACGACAGGAAGGTGTCACCGCCAAACACCAAAACGCCTATTCCTGTGACAAAGATTGTGGTTTTGCCCGACACAATCGGACCGAAGCATACTGAAGCAGTGAATGTAACCCTACCAAATCATACCGTACCGAAAACAACTGGACTGGTTGCTCCATTAATGCCTCAGTGTACAGCTTCACTGGTACCCAACAATCCTCCCAGTGTCCCTACAGATGCAACACCAATCCAAACATTTCCCAAAACAAGTCTGGGTCCTCCTGTAGCAACTGCGCAGAGTTCTGGAAAATCATCAGTAAATAAACCCACAACAAAAACATCATCACAAGATGCAACATTGTTACCGCCAAGCCACAAACTGCCAAAAACAATGGGTTTGAATGTTACTACAGCCACAAAAGAGGCTTTCGCGCTCAGACAAGTGCACAGCTGCCCTAATTCCCTACAGAGGTAAGGTAAATCAAGCAATGGATGCATTGCTTGTCCCTCGATTTAAAATGCATTGTATTACTTTTGGAGCAGTGGTTGACTTGGACCATGTTTTTAAGTATTAACTGTTTTTGTGTTTTTGATCAAATAAATGCAGCCTCTGTAAGTAAAAGTGTGTATAAACGTATAGTAATGCATAGTTTTATAAATGGCAATGTTTCTCATCTTGTACAGATTACAAGTCACTGGAGGAAAAGCAGATTTGGTCCACACGGTATCAGCACCTCTGGCTAAGAAAACGACTGAAGCAGTTGGAGCAGCAAACCACATTTCAGGTGGAATACAGATTAAAATAACTCCAGCTACAGACAAGAATTTAGTACAGATGAAGAGCCATAACCCTCCTGTTAAATTATTGAAATATTAACTTCCTCAGAGATATTTCAAGTAAAAGTCAAAGGTGTTTGGCTGACAAAAACGTTTAGGAATCCTTGTATTAATGAACAAACGCAAATAAACATAAAAATAACAATGATATTACACATCCAAAGTCTTTCAGGTTTGAAAATATTTTGTCCAGACCTCTAGAGTCAACAGTAAATGAAGGGCACTCCAGATATAATGAAGACAAAGAATAATTAGGGAAAATAAGTACATTGATTTACGGCCATTGTTTACATAATATGTAATCCATAAAAAGGTAACTGTAATCTGATTATAAGCATTATAAAATGTAATTACAAATACTTGATTTTTGGAATCTGATTACGTAATCCTGATTACATGTAATCAGTTACTATTCAGCTCTGCATACATGTTGCTGTCAAACAAGTGCTCTGCTACCACAATTTGTTTTTATTACCAACATAACAGTACCATAATAAACTAGAGGTTATTTGAGACAAACAAAACGAGTTGGATATTTACAACAGTGAAAAAAATCTAGAGACACTATATAATTCTTTTGAGTTTTTGGCAGCATGGCAGGTGTTTGTGTAATTTTTCCTTCTGATAGATGTTCAGATTATGGTTTAATTATGGTTAGATAGTTACACTACCGTTCAAAAGTCTTGGGTCGATGGATTTTTTAAATGTTTTTGAAAGACTTCAATTATGCTCACCAAAGGCTGCATTAGTTGCTCAAAAATGTTAAAAACAGTAATGTTGTGAGATATTACAATTTAAAATAACTGTTTTCTATTATTATGTTTAAAGTGTAAGCTATTCCTGTGATGGCAAAGCTTAATTTTTTAACAGTCATTATTCCAGTCTTCATTGTCATATGCACAAAAGTGCTCACAAAACAGGGTCATGATATGAATTTTTCAAGGTTGTTCCTGTTGTTTTGCAGGACATGGCACTAAATGAGATCCAGGTCATGAACCAGCTCAATCACCCCAATGTCCTCCAACTTTATGAAGCCTTTGAGGTCAAGAATCAAGTTGTGCTGATCCTGGAGTAGTGAGTAGTGTGATTCTTTTTAAGCAATAAAACACAATTGGCTAAAATGTAACATGGCATATGATACAACAGAGATCATTGTCTTTTCTATTCAGTGTGGAGGGAGGTGAGTTGTTTGAGAGAATCGTGGATGAGAGCTGTCCGCTGACTGAGGTGGATACCATGGTGTTTGTGAAACAGATTTGTGAGGGTGTCCAGTACATGCACCAGATGTATGTACTTCACCTGGACCTCAAGGTAACAGATGAAGCAAAAAGGGGTCACTTTGTTCTGTCAGATTTAGGCAAGTGATTTTGTTCTTTTCTCAAGGGATTCACTGAGATTATAGCGTAAGCCTTTATGGAAACTGGAATGTCAGAGGGAAATGTGTAACAGTTTATCACTTTTTTTTCCAGCCAGAGAACATTCTTCTTGTTGATCGCTCTAGCCATCAGGTGAAAATTATTGACTTTGGACTTGCGAGGAGGTGGGATTTATACTTATACACTGCTATTGTATTGTACTTGTCCATGCATGTTTATGTGTTCAAATGAAGATAAGTGTTGTCATCAGCCATTTTTGCTGGCATGACATTTGCCTTACATACTTTTCCAGTGACCTCTGTGTATTTCTGAATGTGTCAATCCTCTGAGAGTTCAAATAATATAGCCAAGGCTTATTTTTATGTTCAAGTGGTTTTTCTTCCTGTCCCTCTTCAGATATAAACCACGAGAGAAGCTCAAAGTTTCATTCGGAACGCCTGAATTTTTAGCTCCAGAGGTGGTGAACTTCGATTTTGTCTCCTTCCCTACAGATATGTGGACTTTGGGAGTCGTCACATACATGCTGTAAATCACATTAACACACACCAGAACATGTAATTCACAATTAAATAATAATTTGAACAAATGTCTATATTTGAATTTAAATTTCGCTGTACCACTCCAAAAGAGATATAAGCAGGCCTTGATTACAAATTCAATTATTTTTTATAAGTGATTTCATACAAATTAGTCACAAAGATTGGCTAACAGTTGTGACGCCCAGTAAATGTTCTGGGAGTGAATCCAAAAACATCAAACAAGGCAGTAAAACAGCATCCAGGGTCACTCAGTCAACTGCTTAGTCTAATTAAAGCAATAACAGTGTTATGGAGTATTCTGGGCCACCTCCAAACCAGAAAATGAAACTTTGTTTAACCCTGTTAGCTTCATGTTAGATGAACTCTTGAAATGGAGAAGCAATAAAAATGTGATTTCTGTTGTTCTAGATTAAGCGGCCTCTCTCCTTTTCTGGGTGATGACGATAGCCAGACCCTCAACAATGTGCTTATGGGCAACTGGTAGGCCGCTATTATATTAATTCTATACTCAACAGAACATGAGCTAATTATAAACAAGTGCTGAAACATCTATTTAAAAATCATAAAGTCTACAAACAGCTCTAAAGAACGTTTTAAAGTGAAATCTGTTGTAAACATCGCCCCCTGTTGGATGTCTGTAGGTACTTTGATGAGGATGCTTTTAAGCATGTGTCTGCTGAGGCTCGGGACTTCGTCTCCAACCTGCTGATCAGAGAAAGAAGGTGACATTAAAAATACTTACGTTTAAGGCTGATGATACACGGGGCAATTTTTTGAGCAATGTTGCCGTCAAAGAGGAACCAGGTGAGACACAGGGCCCACGACAGATCTAAAGTTTCAAGATAGAAATTTGTTACCCATTCTTAATGGGTATGTGCCCAAGAAACCGCACTCAAAAAAAGTTGCCTGCAAAATTGCTTAAAGTTGCCCCATGTATCATCAGCCTAAGAGAAGAGATTAATACTAAGTTCATCTTAATAAAATCATTTATCTAAAAAACATGTAAAGGAATAGTTGTTTACCCAAAAATGAATATTTACTTACATTTTTGCCCTCAGGCCATCCAAGATGTAATTGAGTTTCTTTCTTCATCAGAAAGGATTTGGGGAAATTTATTATTACATCACTTGCTCACCAATGGATCCTCTGTAGTGAATAGGTGCCATCAGTATGAGTCCAAAACAGCATTAAAAACCTTACAATAATCCACACAAGTAGTCCACAGTGATCCACTGGTAACAAAGTGAAGTAATGCTAAATTTGTCCAAATATGTGATGAGGAAACAAACTCCTCTACATCTTGGATAGACTTGAGGGCGAGTACATTTTCAGCAAATTGTCTTTTTTTTTGGTGAACTATTCCTGTAAGTGTGTTCCAAGAAACACAAAATTAGATGATTTACAGAATGTCTGAGCTGCATGTTTCTGTACAAAGAAAGCGTACCATGACTAGTGGCAGTCAATCTCCATAAAAAAGGAAAAGCACCATAAAAGTTCTTCATAAGTGAAATGAAGTGAGGCCACGTATGGCGACCCATACTTGGAATTTGTGCTCTGCATTTAACCCATCCAAGTGCACATACACAATAGTGAACACACACACACACTGTGAACACACACCCGGAGCAGTGGGCAGCCATGTGTTGCAGCGCCCGGGGAGCAGTTGGGGGTTCGGTGCCTTGCTCAAGGGTCTCACCTCAGTCGTGGTTTTGAGGGTGGAAGAGAGCACTGTATATTCACTCCCCCCACCCTACAATCCCTGCCGGACCTGAGACTCGAACCCGCAACCTTCTAAAGATTTTTCGTCTTTATTTACAGTGGTCGTCTGAGTGCTACACAGTGTCTCAAACACCCGTGGCTCAACAACATCACTGAGAAAGCCAAGAGCAGCAACATTGTGCTCAAGTCTCAGGTTCTCCTCAAGAAGTATATGGCCAGGCGAATGTGGAAGGTGAAAAACAGAGGACACATAATGATTTACCACTTTCTTAACACTGTTTTAAGATGCTAAATGCTTGCTTTCTCTCTTCATTTCTCGTTCATCCTGTTCCACCTGTCTCCTTTGTGCAGAAAAACTACATAGCCGTTGCTGCAGCAAATAGGTTTAAGAAGATCGGAAGTTCAGGTTTGTTAACTGCGCTTGGAATCTGAGAGTGTCAGAGACGTCCTGCTGACTGTGCTCACTATGTGTGCTTTTATTTTAGGCAGATCATGTCTTTGTATTGTGTGCTGCATTGCCACCCACGCTTTCGTATCTGAATACTCACTGACTGCCAGTGTAATTATTCAAATGCATCTGTAACATTCAATAAAAATTTACAAATTACATATTTCTCTTGAATTTCCTTTTGGCATCACATTATTAAACTCTGGTGTTTTTCACGGATTCATTAATTTATCACTTTTGTCTTTACCAAAATGTTATTCTAATTGAAAAAGCATGTGGAAGAGACAAAAAAGAATGTAAGAAAATAGTTAATCTTAAACTGAGTATGGCTTGCAGCTGATTATTCATATATTGAAAGATATAGTAGACAAAGACCAGTGGTGAGATCACTGAATCAGTTTTATCCTAAACGTGAATGGAATACTGGTGGCTTTTGTCATGTTTTGTGAGATGAGTGTTAGACCAACAGGAAGTAAAAACAGTATGTTCAAAACCTATGTTGTCCACAGTAATGCAGTGCAGAAGAACCAGTTTTTGAAAATACATTCATGTCATTCTTTCGCTGATGAAACACGATATAATGCTCTCCCTTTTTTTACATGCAGCCTAAATAAAGTAATGTTATGGGTTAACTAAACAGAGTCATACCCATTCAAATTGCACGTGTCCTTTTTTTAAATTTTTTTTATACAACTTCAAAAAACAAAACAATGAATTGGTTAAATATTGGTAATGTACTTATTAACTATTTTTGAACTTTGACATAAAATAACATAATGACCCCCCCCCCCCCCCCCAAAAAAAAAAAAAAAATGTTTTTTTTTTTTTTT